TTAATCCTCATAAAGTGTGCTATTTATTTTGTTTGCTTATGAGTCTCCCTATAAAATGTATTAAAAGTAACTGGGTCTTTTGACATGTCTTTACGGACATGAGAATAAGGGGAGAGGAGAGAATGAATGAATCCACTCCCTGGCCACTGTGGGGTGGTGGCAATGTTGAGGAGAAAAGGAAGATGAGCAATCTCCAACACCAGGGGCAGGGAAGAAAAAGAGCTCTGGAAGTTGGAAGGAGAGATACAGTGTTCCCAAGGTTTAGCAGATAATTCAGGCAGCTGCACACTGGGTGCTAACTTTGTCACACAGTGGGTGTGAGGGTTAGGAGCAATGCAGAGCCTTCCTCAGAAAGCACACATGTCACTTCTGAGAATAAATTTATACTCACAGTATGTGTCCCACATCCCCCTTTCCAACTGATTTGGGGGCTTAAATAATCAAAATGTCGTTAAGCCATGAGTTCAATTGAACAATATATAGAAGTGAAAACTAAATTGAATGAAAATGTAATCAACATTTATATGTATAAATGAGCTAAAGAAATATCTAAAGGGTGGGGGAAGTTTGGGAGGAGAAAATAGATTTTTAACTTTATCTTGCAGATAAAACTGACCTTTTGAATAAACTAGGTGGGATACCAAATCATTAAATGGCATTTATTCCCTCTCTACATCAGAACATTTTAGAAAAAGAAGTTTATCTAGTTGTTTAGATAACTGGTGTGGGATCCAGCCAATATGTAGGTTTTTATGTGCCAGTGATTATCCAGTGAAGCTCCGAAAGAGATCACCAAAGTATGTGGTGATATGATGAACATTTAAACATTTATTGAGCACTTACCATATGCCATGCTGTGCTCTAAGCATTTTTACATATCTAGTTCATTTTTATAACAAATTTATAGGTAGATACTATTATTATTCCCATTTTAAAGAAAAGAAAACAGGCACAGAGGCCAAGTAACTGGCCCAAAGCCACATACACAGCAAGTAAATGTAAAAGCTGGGACTGATATCCATGCCATCTGCGCCAGAGTCCCTCTGCTATTCCCTTTGACATGCAGTGCCACTGAAAGCCATAGCAATTAGTATACATTCTAATTAGGAGAGGTTTTTATGCCTTTGAAATCACATGCTCCTCCTACAAACACTTTAAGATAACTTGCATTTGCTGCTGGCATGCCTTAGAGAGAATTCTAGAGACAGCCTATGTGCTTAAGTAAGATTCTGTAATACATTTTAATCTACAAGTGGTTGGACAGTCATTTATATTTGTTACTGGATCGAGCTATTAGATACCAGTATCACCAAGATAATTCAACCCTTATTTTGGCTTACACAAGCCAATCTTTGAAAGCTACAATCAGAGGATTTTTCTTAAGTCCTTAACGCTTTGTATGTTATCTTATAATAATTTAAGCTGGTCAGCCATTCAAGCTCTAAATCCTAGTTAGAAGGTGGCATCACATACAAGAGAATATACATGCACAGGCATGCGTGCATGCATACACAGTGTTACAGATGCCCACCAGGCATAGAACTGGTGTCCTGAGGCTGTGCTTTTATATGTCATCTCTGATGTCATTTAAATTGCCTATTGACAAGGAATATACTGCTTGATTATGATATACATTATACTCAAATTATAAAACCAAAAATCCTTCCAAATGTGAATTTTATTATCCTTTTTCCCCTCCCAAAGATGTGCATCTAAGTATATGTGTTCTGGGTAGTAAAAAGAGAGTCTGCCCTCATGACTGATTTCTCCTAGTCGTCCTTGACACTGTCTTGTACAAAAAGACCATGAATAACTTAGTTTTAATATATTTGTTTGTCTCGCTTATGCCTGATTGGAGCAATTGAGAAAAATTACATTCATAAATCTTCTTGCCAAGATAATTAATTATGCACAAAATACTCCAAGCTGCTTCTGATTTTCATTAATGAAGCAGATTATCTGCAAAATAAGATGCTGTTAGAGCTTAAAAGAAAGGTCAGCTGCTCATCTTTAAATGTAAAATAAGTTTTTACATATTTTTACATCCGAAAAACAATGACAAAGAAAAAACATGCTATGATTATGTTTATCAGACTATCACATCCTAATTAAAATAGAAAAGTACATGGTTTTCATTTACTTTTGGGGAGAGGGGGATTGATGAAAGTCTTTAGTCACCAGCATTCTGGTCATTTAATTTCTTTTTCAAAAGAGAATTAGCTGAACTATTATAATTCAAAGACATTAGGGCATAAGCACTAGAAACAGAGAAGCACTAACATCATCATTTAAATGGCCCTTATGAGAGAAGACACATCAGATATTCAGACGTCCACATTATTATTCATCAGTAGTCTTTGTTCTAATTCTCCACTTAATTTCCTTTTCTCTTAAGTGGTTAAAATGATTGACAAAGCTGATATTTTATTAATGTAAAGTTTGACAGCTCCTATGTTTCCTTATAATAAGTACAGAACTAACAGGAAAAATCTTTGCCTTCCAATGAAGCATGGTTCCACCGTATTCTAGGATTAACAGGTAGATCATCCAGAAACATGATAACCACGGAACCCAAATTACTAACAGAGTCACACTCAATTTGGTGTCCCTACTTCACTGCTGCATCATCAACAAAACTTTAAAATACAACATGTAGAAAAACTCAAATAATCTATACTTACCAAGATTTTAAAATATTTCCTTGTTTACATAATTATCAACACAGTAAGCATTAATTATTGTTCATAATATTGAGAAACCAGAGACTACTTCCTCATCAACAAAATATTGTTAAATTGTGCTATATTCAAATAGCAGAATACTACTTACCCATTAAAATTACTTATTCTACTTTTGACACAAGTACATGTCTATGACTTGTTCAATTTAATAAAAATCAAGTTATAATATAGTATATATTGGTGAGTTCCCTTAGTTTTTATTTGTTTGTTTAATTGCTTCTTTAATAAATGTGTATGTGCCTGTGAGTTTGCTTATGCTTGGATAAGTCTTCCTTCTGGTGGCAGGATGCCAAAATGTTAACAGCAATTATCTGCATGAAGAGCCATCTCTACATTTTTAACAAATGAGCATTATTAAGTCACAAGCAGGAAAAAATACTGCTGTCTTTTTGTCTTAAACTGTCAATTGAGTGCCCATTGAACAAATATGGCTAAGATTATAAAAGCGACTTTTATTTCATCACACCCTGGGAACTCAAAATAAATAATAAAATTGGCCTTCATCTGTAAACGTTGTTTGAATGGAAACGGAGTCCTATGTGTTAAAAATTGCTTGACAAATAGATCTCGGGAAGGCCATGAAGGGAGGCCTGTCAGGCACAAGTGCCACATAACAGAAATTATCACAAAGGACTCTGAAAATCTACAACCGTACACAGAGGCCATTGCGACCATACTTCTGCGAGGACATCTGCCCAGCAACTGTCTGTCCAACCTCAGACTGGTATCACCCTTGTTATTAATCCTTGTAGCCAAGGATAACTATCCCAGAATATTTATGTAATCCTCCATCACTTTTTCTTTAAAATTCCTGTCTTCCTTTACCTCCCTTAATATGCACATAGTTTAGTATGGCATGTGTATTCCCATGCAATGTTATATTTCCAACTAAACTCATTTTTCCTTTAGAAAGCCTTTCTCTGTTACTTAGAACAACATGTGTCAAGATTCATTGCTCTATTTGATTTTCTTTATAGCACTTATTTTCATTAATTTATTATATGTCCTTCTCATCATATTAAAACAGTGGTTCTCAACTGTGGATAATTTTGCCCCCTGTGGGACATCTGGCAATTTCCAGAGACATTTTTGGTTGTCACAATGGGCAGCTGGTTGGTAGAGGCCAGGGAAGCTGCTCAATATCCTACAGTGTAACACAGCCCCCATAACAAGGAATTACCTAGCACAAATGTCAGTAGTGCCAAGGCTGAGAAACACTGCATCAGAGCAAAATTTCTAGAAGAAAGGATATTTGTCTTGTGTCTAGTGTGTCCCCAGCACTTATAATAAGATCTGATATACAGTAGGTGCTCAAAAAGCATTAGTTAAAAGGTTGATCTTCATTTAAGTCCTTATTTTTCCAGCTTTAAATAAAAACCAGTTTCTCCTGGACTCATATTTGCTCCCGGATGTATGTCTCTCTCTCCAATTTGGATCAGAGCCATAATGTAAAACCTGTGAAAAGACCCCTTTCCTGTGCATCGAGAGCAGGAGACTCCCAGCCCTCCATCCACATCATTTCTCTCTAAAAATTCCTTCCAGTTAATCTGTACAGATTTGAACATGGGATTGGGGCAATCAGAAATGTTGCAATAAATATCACTCCTATTGGAGTTGGAAGTTGCGAAGAGTTCTGTCCACTCTTAACCACAAGTGACTGGGATGGAAAGAACGTATGGCAACATGTTGACCACTGATCAGAGCAGAGCCTGCAGTTCAGGTAATGAGCTCTAATGAGCCTGCAAACTCAACAACCCCCACAGCCCTCTAACCCTGAGCATTCAGCCATAGTCCAACGTTACATTTCTTCACCAGCACCAGTCCAGTCTTCTGAAAACGTTATCTCTACTTTGGGCTGATGGAATTTTTCACTGAAATTAGCAGCAATCTAGTAAATTCAGCACCATCATGCCTCTCCAACTTCTAAGAAAACTGCAATTAACATTTCAAAATGTCAAAGAAACGTGCCCAAAAGTAGTGACCTGGAAGGAAGTGAGAAAGAGAATCCAACAATAGAACACAGTCATATTCAAAACTACCCACGGGTGTTCTTTCTTTTATAAAATCAATATTATAATAAAAATCTTTGTTTTTATTATCTGCTTGGGAGAACAACATGATAGTTTGGATGAAAGACTTTTGAACCATAAACCAAAGGATGTGACCATGATAACCGGGAACCTGTCCCAGGACATGGCTAATTCACGTAATAACCAATCAGTTAACACCAAGACATCCTCCAGTGCCCCTCTGGGTTACCTGGTTTTCTTGTTGGTCCCACTGACATATCTGCAGAACCTGATCCAGTTCTTGCCACTGTTGCTTCAGGTACTTGTCTAGTTGCCGTCTCCTGTCCTGCAGAACCTCAAGAAGGCTGTCAATCTTCAGACAGCTGCTCTGAGCTCCCTGAATCAACTCAGGACTCACATTAGGTGCATCACACTTGAATTTTTCTATGAAGTCAGTGAGTTGTTGACTTTTGTTTAAAAGGGCTAGAGATCGTTCTAGGAGTTCTAAAAGAAAATTAGAAAAAAGAGCAGTGATATCAGCAAGCTTTTAGGTAGTAATATTTGGACTCATAATATAATTTAAAATATATGTAACTTTTATATTAATAAATAATACACTGTACTGCAAGAAATTTGAGCATGCAAACCTAAACTGCCCACAATATTTGAAAGAGACAACTGGTCAAACACCTTGGCCTAACAATTGCTACAGCGCTAACTGACAGGATACTGAAGTGCAGTAATAGCATAATTAAGCAGAAGGAATAGAAAGGTCGTGGGATTTTGACACTACTTCAGTCTGTTCTTAGTAGTGTGAAACTGACTAAGGTGACTGATCTTTCTGGAGTGTTCTATGGTCTGATGTGATTGGACTCAATTGGAGGTTTAAAGGCTGGTGCCTGTAGTGGGCAAAGAAAAAAATAAATGTGGTGGCCAGGTGCCCAAATGTCAGGGACAATGGTAAAGTGGAAAATTCTTGCTCGGTCTAACAGGGTCAGCTGTCACTTAGTCCTGACCTCATGTTGACACAGGGGAATATGGGTCTAGTGCTGATGGAGCTTCCAACTGTTTAAAGTGTTTCATATACAGATTCATATACAGATTTTTATGTGAAAGCTTCTGATTTTTAAATGTTCTGTAATTTGTATTCTGTTAATCCAAAAAATACCACAGCATAAACAAAGCATATTTATCCACCAAATGGTCCACCAGATTGTTATCTCTGGAGCACTGAATAATTAGGATTTTAAGCCTGAAAACTGAAGAACCACCAAGGGAGAAAGTGTAGAAGGGGAAGGAGTTGAGAACAGAACATCGAGGAGCATCTACACTGGAGGAACAGCTGGGGAATTCTCCACTCTCCCCAAGCCAAGAGTGGAAACCAGGAGTCATTCATGATACATCTTCTCCTTCATCCTGCCATCATCAAGAACTGTCCATTTTAGCCTCTAGCTCCCTCTTCTGTCCTCTCTCCAGCCACACTACAGAAAGCATCATCTGTTGCCTGGACTTGTGCAGTCTTCTCTTAGTTGCACCCCCTGTCCAATCCATTCATCCATTCTCCACACGTTAGCCACAGAGATCTTTTCTAAACATACCATGACACGCACACACACACGTACACACACTTAAAACAATGGCTTCCTATTGCCTTAAAATTAACAACAGACCCCTTAATCTGAATTACCAGGTTTGGCATGGTCTAGTCTCTATTTTCCTTTTTAGATTGTCTCAATCTCTCTACCTTTCATCCCCACCTTCTTTTAATTCCATACACATGCTACACTCCCTCCTGCCCCTGAACTTTCAACTGTTTCCTTTGCCAGCAGCATCATTCTCCTCAACCTCCCTCTTCTCCATCTTCCTCCTACTCATACTTCAGGTGTCAGCCAATCGTCAATTTCTCAAAGGACAAACCAGACTGAACTAAATTCTCCTGTCAAGTGTTTTCATTGCACAATGTTCTTCTCAGTCACAGCTGTTACTGTGGCTATAATTTTACATTTATTTGTGGGATTATTTGATTAATACCTGTCTTTGCCACTAGGCTCTCATGCAATATGAGGATAAGGACCATTACTGCAACCCCAGCACTTAGTATAGTGACTGGCACAGGGGAGATGTTTAATAATTTTTGTAGAATGCTTGAGTGAGAGCAAATGTATTAAAAGAAGGGGGAGAGTTAGGAGAATTATAGACATGAAAGATCAGCAGTCCTCTAGAGATGTAAAAAAGAGGAGAAGTTGGGAAGACTTAGGATTGTGTGATGAAGTGATGGAAACAGAAGCCACGTTGCCAAATGGAGAAGCGGGAAGGTAATGGTGAAGTAAAGGCAACAAGGCAGGACAATCTTTGAGACATTTGCTGTTAGAAGAAAGGAAAATGCCAGGGTAGTATCTCAAGAGAACAGCAGGGTTGAGCATGCTGCTTCTCATTTTTAGGATGGGGAGAACTGTGAAGAACATCCAGAGGGTCAGTACCAGGCATTACATGACTAAAAATGGACTGAGCAAGTACTAAATCCAGGTCTATAGTTGGAAGCTCAGTGTTCTTTCCACTGTGTGGTGACACTCTCCATTCTAACTTCTGGCTGTTAACTACACAGCAACGACTGGGCTGAGGTCGTTGGGCCAGTTGTCTCTTTCAATTGATACCTTTTTATGAGAGCAGGAAGAGATATTGAGATAAGCGAATATCCTGTATAGCGACATTTTGAGATGAAAAGGAAAGAATTTGAAGTAGTTTATACCATATGACCTAGATCTGTCCAATAAAATATTGAGTAGTAGTATCTGCTCAGAGTGACGAGGGGAGATTATGTGCCCTGGACAATTTGATTGGGAGTCCACCATGCAAAGAAACAAACCACCACCACCACTGCAGACTTGAAGCAGGACAGAAGGGTGGGAGAATTTAAATAGGGTAAGAAAAGTCAGGGAGAACATTAAAATGAGAGTAAATTTCTTGAACAAAAAATGGAAGCCAAAATGAACAAGATGGGGGCAGGGAGGCAGGTGCAGAAAAAGACCTATCTGTCTAGAACAAGTCCTTATCAGAAAGTGAAAGAAACAACTGGAGAAACAAGATAAACACAGGTTATAGGCCTTGCCTATCACACTGAAGAGCTTTAGTTGGAGAGCCTTAATGGACTAATCACTACCACTGATTTTCCTTTTATATATTTACGGAGACAGATTTTTTTCCCTTTGTACTGAAGAGCTTCTTATGATATTAAGAACAGCTACACACACGCACGTTCAGGAAGCGTGAGCAGGCAGCAGAGTTTCCACATGGTATTTCTTCTCTTCCTTTCTATAGCTCGCTCTTACACATTAGACTTTTCAAATGAGAAGAAAGCACAACTTCAGGTGCTCAGGGTATTGCAGACTGACAGTGAGTCAGGCCAACCTGTTCTGCCCTCCACAAAAATATTTATAATTAGCCAAATTTCCACTTGCAATCTCTTTCTTGTTTTTGGTTTCTGCTTTTCTGCCAAAATAGCATAACCATTACTACAGTACCGCCAGGCGTACAGCCTCTTGAGCCAAAGTTAGCTTGTAAAATGTACCCAGTCTGAAATTAGTCTGTCACCTGCTAGCACTAAGGTTATTAAAGTGGACAAATACTTCCCTCAGTTCCCTCTGACAGTTCTCTTTGTCTCTGTCAGTTTCTTACATCTGACTTTTTTGCTGTTTACATTTTGCTAGCTGTTTATTCTATCAGTTGATCATACAAAGTGATGTATTTTTCCTCAAGGGTAAACTGTCTAGATACACAAGGGTACTTGAAAAATTCATGAGGAAAAAATAGAATTAAAAGACAATATGAATTTTTCCATAAACTTTTGGAAGTACCATTGTATTGTGATCTTTAAGAATACAAAATCTCTACAGTTTATTTATTTGAAAGATGGTACATTTCTGCTTATTCAAAACCTATTTACTAACACAATAACTTCTGATGTGAAGCTAGTAGACATTTAATAAATTTTCATTGTTTAATTGTTTGGGTTAATTTTTACTGTATCTAAAAAAGTAGTATTAAAGTACATTTTATACTAATACCTATACAGTTTGTCATAATTATTAAGTATAAATAACAAATTTAAGATAAACAAATGAGGAATGTGCACAGTTAGGTGGGTTTATACTCATTTCCCAATGAGTACTTTCTAAAAAATATCAAGGTCACAGCCTGGTTACTGAGATCATGGGTGATATTTCTTCCTAATATATTTTTAAATATTCCAAATGTTCCTCTGTGGGATGATTTTTTATATAACTTATTCAATGGGCATTTTCAAATATACACAAAAGTAGAGATAATGGTGTAATGGGCTCTCATGAATCCATATCCCAGCTGTATTTAAAAGATATACAACATCTAAGAAAAGAGAAGTAATAATATGATTCTTCCTGCAATGTAGCTTTCTTAAGTATCATGTTAATTTTAAGAAAACTACTGGAACCAATAACAAGCAACAAGATTGAAGCAGTACTCAGCAGTCTCCCAACAAAGAAAAGGCCAGGACTGGATGGCTTTACTGCTGAATACTACCAAATCTTTAAAGAAGATTTAATACCAATTCTCTTCAAACTATTTGAAAAATTGAAATGGAGGCCATTCTCCCAAACGAATTCTATGAGGCCAGCATCTCCTTGATACCAAAACCAGATAAAGATACCACAAAAAAAGAAACTACAGACCAGTATCTCTGATGAACATAGATGCAAAACCCCTCAATAAAATACTAGCAATCAGAATACAGCAACACATCAAAAAAAAAGTATACACCATGATCAAGTGGGATTTATCCAGAGATGCAAAGATGGTTCAACATACACAAGTCAATAAATGTGATACACCACACCAACAAAATCAAGGACAAAAACCATACAATTATCTCAAGAGATGCAGAAAAAGCATTTGAAAAAATTCAACATCCTTCATGATAAAGACTCTCAGCAAATTAGGTATAGAAAGAAAGTATCTCAACACAACAAAAGCCATCTACAACAAGCCCACTGCTAATACCATCCCGAATGGGGAAATATTGAAGACTTTTCCTTAAAAACAGGAACAAGACAAGTATGCCCACTCTCATAACTTCTATTTAACACAGTAGTGGAGGTACCAGCCAGAGCAATCAGGCAAGAGAAAGAAATAAAGGGCACCCAGATTGGAAAACTGTCCCTATTTGCAGGTGACATGATCTTATACATAGAAAAATCTAAAGATTCTATCAAAAAACTCTTAGAGCTGATTAATAATTTCAGTAAGGTTGCAGGATACAAAATTAACATCCCCAAATCAGTTGTGTTTATTTTCTCCAATAATGAATGAACATAAAGAGAAATCAAGAAAGTAAGCCTATTTACATCAATCAAACACACACAAAAATACTTAGTAATCAATTTAACCAAGGAAGTGAAAGATCTCTACAATGAGAACTACAAATCACTACTCAAAAAAATTAAAGAAGACATAAAAAGATGGAAAGATATTCCATGCTCTTAGATTGGAAGAATTAACATTGTGAAAATGTCCATACTACCCAAAGCAACTACAGATTCAATGCAATCCCCATCAAAATACCAATGACATTCTTCACAGAAATAGAAAAAACAGTCTTAACATTCATATGAAACGGGGCCGGCCCGGTGGCGCACTGGATAGTGCGCCGCTTGGGAAGCGCGGCGGCGCTCCCGCCCAAGGGTTCGGATCCCACGTACAGACCGGTTCCCGCTCACTGGCTGAGCGAGGCGCGGGAGCAACGCCGAGGGTTGCAATCCCGTTGCCGGTCCCCAGTCCGGTGCGGGGGCAACACTGAGGGTTGCGATCCATTGCCGGACACGGAAAAAGACAAAAAAAAAAAAAAAAAAAAAAAAAAAAAAATTCATATGAAACAACAAAAGACTGTGAAAAGCCAAAGCAATCATGAGCAAAAAAATAATAATAATAAAGCCATAGGCAAAACACTACTTGACTTTAAATTATACTACAAATCTATAGTAACCAAAACAGCATGGTACTCGACTAAAAATAGACACTCAGACCAGTGAAACAGAATAGGGAACCCAGGAATCAACCCACAGACTTACAGCCAACTTATATTTGACAAAGGCAACAAGAACCTACACTGGGGAAGTGACTGCCTCTTCAATAAATGGTGCTGGGAAAATTGGATATTCATTGCATAAGAATGAAACTAGACCTGCACCTGTCACCATACACCAAAATCAACTCAAAAAGGATTAAAAACTTAAGTATAAGACCTGTAACTGTAAAACCACTAAGGGAAAATATAGGGGATGAACTGACTAACTACAGAATGGGAGAGAATGTTTGAAAACTATACATCCAGAGTATACAAGGAACTCAAGCAACCATACAGTAAAAAAACAAATAACCCAATTTAAAAAATGGGCAAAGGAGCTGAACAGACATACAAATGGCCAACAAGCACTTAAGAAAAATGCTCAACATCACTAATAATCAGGGAAATGCAAATTAAAACCTCACTGAGATAGCACCTCACCCTGGTTAGACTGGCTATAATAAAAAAGACAGAATAACAAATGCTGGTGAAGATGTGGAGAGAAGGGAATGTTCCTACACTGTTAGTGGGACTGTAAATTAGTACAACCATTATAAAAAGCAACTACAGATAGATCTACCATATGATCCAGCAGTCCCACTTCTAGATATATAACCAAAGGAATGGAAAACACCAGGTCTAAGGGATGCCTGTACTCCCATGTTCATCACCGCTCTATTTACAAGAGCCAAGACATGGAACCAATCTAAATGTCCATCGATGGACAACTAGATATGGAAAATGTGATATATATATACACCACAGAATACTACTCTGCCATAAAAATGAATGAAATTCTGCCATTTGCAGCAACATGGATGAGCTTGGAGAAAATTGTGGTAAGTGAAATAAGCCAGGTACCGAAGGAAAAATACCACATGTCCTCACTCATAAGTGGGAGCTGAGAGAGAAAGAAGAAAGGAAGGAAAGATCACAGTGGTACATTGGATTTGCAGACGGAGAGAGCATACGTAGGGTTCCCAAGGTGGGGAGCGAGGTCCAGGATTAACTGGGTGGGCAAATGAGGAATAATCACAACTTGTGGTAACGGGCATCCTGATTCTATTTTTTTATTTTTCTTTTTTGTCTTTTTTCGTGACCAGTAACGGGATTGCAACCCTTGGTGTCGCGCCCACACCGTGCTCAGCCAGTGAGCGGACTGGTCTCTATTTGGGATCCGAACCCTCGGCGGGAGCGCTACTGCACTCCCAAGTGCCGCACTCTACCGAGTGCGCCACCGGGCCGGCCCCATCTGGAGTCTATTGATCTGACCATCACATCCTGGGCATAGGTGGTAAAGGTTGGCTTTGTACCCCATGAATATGCATAACCAATAAATTAATTAAAAAAAAGAAAGAAAGAAGGAAAAGCTAAGAAGAAAAAAAAGAAGGCCTTTGGAAAACTAGAGGGTACAATTATGATCCTTCAGAGCTTAGAATAAATTTTCTCCTTAACACTCAATAAACATACTTTGGATTGGACACTATTCTATGTGCTGGAGATTCAGAGATGTATTAATCCCTGCTATCCGAGGTCTCACATTCTGGTGATGGAGATAGATAAGGAAATACGTTATTACTACACAGTGTGCTAGGTGCTGCAGCAGAGTTACCCACAGGAAGCTCAGAGGCAGGTCCCTGACAGGGGTGTACGTGCCCTGCTAAATTCTTGGTTTCCTGATGACAAGGGCCATCTACTGCCCTGACACAAGGCTCTGGGTTTCTCACCAGGTGTGAGTTCAGAAAATATTGTTTAATTATATGTTGTTGAATTGAGGGCAACCAAGCTGGTTAGTAGTCTGGAAGCCATGTTTGCTAGAAAAGACTTTAACTAACTAGGCATGTTTAACCCAAATAAGAGAAGAATGAAGAGGGTATTAATCTTCAACTATTTCAAGGATTGTCATGTGGAGGAGGGAAAAAAGTTATTCTATCACATCCCAGAAGGTGGACACTTCAACCTATTCATCCTGGTTCTGACCTGCGCCATGGTACAGAGTAAGTTTCTTACATGCAACACAGCCTTAGCATTGCTGAACAAGGAGAAAGCACAGGTGAAACTAACTGAAATAAAGTGAATATTAGGGTAAGCTAATTACAGTGTTTCCAGCTATGTTATTAACCTTTGTCATCCTAACATTCAAGTTTTGTATTATTCAACTGATCAGCATCTCAGAAACCTACTAGAGCTGCTAGCTGCACTTATAGACGTATTTTATTTCCTCAAATTAAAAAATAATAGATATGATGCCCTTAACTAAAAATCAGATTTTCATATTTGAATATGCATTTTACATCAGCTCATCTTAATCACATCCCACTGAGTTAGCTGATTAATAAATTCCATCAAATCTCATTTAACAAAAACAAAGCCCGTGAAGCCACCACTGGGCATGTGAATTGGAAACCAGGTATCCTGACCAGAGTCTTCTGCACTCCCTGTACTTCAAGGATCACATAGAGAGGCACAAAAATATAATAAATGTGCCATCAGGATGGAAGTCTAGTTTGTCATCACAAAATAAACTGCTCCCTGTCTTCAGCTAGCATTTGTATCTATCTCTTCAGACTAAAAGTAGGCCCAATGGACTCTTGAAGGCCATGCCCCTAAAAAGCATGACATTGGTTTCACTGTCTGAAAATAGCTGGCTGCAGGAGCAGTGCAGCCTAAGGCCTCCAAACAAAGCAGCAAGCGCTCCCATGTAAAGGGCTCACTGTGCCACCAATCCTCATCAGTTTGAAGGAGCCAATAGCGGCAACAACAAAACAGCATTAAAGCTACTTCCCCCTTCCAGCTCCATCTCCAAATATTTATGGAAAAGTCCATTCCACAACCCCCCAATCCCTCTGGAAAATGCTTTCATTCGATTGCCTCAGTAATGAACCTGTTCAACAAAAGCATCAATCACTGTCAGGTTTCTGGTGGTAAAACTTCTGTGTGATGATCATATTGGTTGGATGAAGATTGAATTGAGACCACAGAATCCATTTGTTACCTGGACTTGATTCCCCTTCTAATCTCCTAGGAGGAATTTCATGTGATTCTGCTCACTCCCTGTAGGTCCAGCTAGATTACTGTTGCTGCATAAAAATGGGCAGCCACTGCTTTAATGCTGAATCTTTTAATGCTGTTTATAATCCCTGTTAGTGATAGGTCCTACAGAACAGTAATTAGTTAAAATTACATATATGTGTTTGGTAAGATCTCATAAAAAAATTTACACAGGAAAGATTGAGTCTTTTAATCTCTGAGTTTGGAAAAGTTTTGATAAGTAATCATAAATTTATTATCTAAAGGGCTTCTGGAAGGTTATATAAACACAAAATCTATTCGTGACTACATTTTGCCCTGTCCAGAATAATCAGATTTGTGGAACTACAAGTCAAGTTAGAACTGTGACAGAGGAATTCAGGAAGCCATTCTACTCATACCCAGTTACGTCAGGCAGTAATAATTAGAAGACACATTCAGCAGAAAAGAAGCAATTGTTCCTGTCTTTTTATCTGACCTACTTCCACAGAAAAAGATGACAGTAAACAGCTACACTTCTACAAACGCCTTCCCTACTCCAGTCCTAGCCCGCTCTAAATTCTGGTGGAAAGGCCTGGCATACAAATTGTTGGTTAACACCAGACTATCTTTATAGTCGCTCAGAGGGAGTTGAAAATCTTTTTGTATAGTATTTTATATTTTTATTTGGAAAAAATTTACTACTTTTTTATTTTTTAACTGCAATAGTGAAAGAGGAATTGCCCTTATCCAGAGCTGTTATTTAAAGGTTGACCTTCATTTATTCACTCTTAGGATGAGCATTCACTGAATTCCACTATTTATTTGACCAAGAAATATTTCTTGAGGATCCACCATGTGCCAGGCACCATGCTAGCTGCTGAGGATAAAAGGATAAAAATCTAGCAGACTAAATAACTGAATCTCCTGGAAGCCCTTCTACTACCATTCCCTTAGAATCATTAACAACTAGTTCTTTCTTTCAGAAGATGACCAAAAATAAAGCTTTATTTAAGCTTTTTGGAACAAGTTGAGGTATACATAAATACATTTAAAGATATACTGTCATTCATAAGCATGCTCATATTAACACGTTTTAAAACCTTTAAAAAGCTTATGTGAGGAATAAACATATTTCTTGCCTTTAGCATGTTGCTCATGAAGCTGAAGAAGTGATTTTAGGGACTCAGCACTCTCAACCTCATGAGTATTCTGGAGAAAATCTTCAGCTTCGTCTATTTTAATAGCAAACTACAACAGAAATACAGAGGAAAGACATTTGAAAACAAATAAAAATCAGTGTGCCTCCTATAGTTATTTGTAGAAGTTGCTCATGAATTAATGGCCTGTGTATGGTTGTATGCATGTGTGTGTTCGTGTGAGTGTGCGCTGGCTTAGGGTGTTTCTGTGAGGGTGTGTGTTTGCAGGTAGTCAATTTACAAAGTGTCATGGTAAGTACTTTATTCTCCTTCCTTTGGATTCCTTTCATACCTGGAAATACGTCATGCATGCTGAAATAAACCAACTTGCTTACTGTTCAAATGTCTATTAAATTTTTTAACTAAAATCATTGTGTTCTATGTAATGAATACAGTCACCTTCAACAGTCTAAGGAACTCTGTCAAAGACTAAGCAGAAAGTTTGCTGAGGGAAACCAACAAAAGACTGGCTAATAAGTAACCTATGTAATTACAAGTAAATTTAACTTAAGTGCTCACTTATAGAGAAATTTGAAGTGCAGTTATTTTTCCTCTGTGACTGAATTTAGAAGTGAAAAATGCAAGTTTCAGGATAATACATAGTCTAATCCCACTTTTTATACATAGAAAAAAATGTATGTATATAGTTGTACCAAAAGTGGCTACCTTTATGAGAAGGAATGGGATTAAGGATGGGTAAGTGGAGGTAAACTTTTAGCTTTTGAATCTATAATTTGTAATTTTGTTTGCATTTTTATCAATAATTTTATTCATTATTATATAAATAAAGATGAGATTAGATAGAGCAAAAAGGACATATGAAAATTTTTTCCTCTATTTCAAGGAAAATGCATAGTAGTTTGACACCCTAAAAGGTGAGAAAAATGACTGGTCTCTCTCTTTGTTTTTCTCCATGGAGGAAGTATAGATGCTCAAAGCGATAAAATTCTTAGGGAAATAATCTTAGAAACAAACTTTAGAAGAGGACAAAATATACTTGGCATATTACAGTATATCTATGGTGGTAGACAAATAGCTGGTTTGTTTTAGCACTAAGATTCAATGGTAATTATTATAAGAGCATTTTAATCAATATGTTCGCCTTTGGATTAGGTTAAGAATAAACTAATGAAGGAAAAATATCAGTGTGAAAGACACAGAAGCCTACCACAGTGTTTGTCCTCTTTTTCAAGTTTTTTCCAAACTATCATATTTGAATTTGATGATTTTAATATTTTTACATAACTATTTGATTACCCAGATCTACTGTACTTTGATTATTCGAAGACAGCCTTATAAAATCCAGTTATAAATGGTATGGGAATGATGAGAAAGAGACTGATGAGCATGTCCTCTTTTGAAATGCAGAGAAGGCTTCTGCCATCCTATTAGAATAACCTGATGGACACCTGCCACTGTCACTTATCAGTATTCCTAAATTGTAGCACAATGTTTGAGAAGAGAATTACCTACCTGATGGTTAAGTCTGTGAGCCTGAAATCATCCTGTAATAATTATCAGCCATCCAATAAGAAGTCATTTTGTATTTCTAAAGAACTCCAGCATGCAAATAGTTCAACAAGGGGATCATACATACACATCATTTACATCTCTTATTCATTCAATTTCTAGTAACTAGTTTTAAAGATATTCTTTGAAGAGAAGGTTCAAAGAGAAAAAACAAAACAAAACACCCCTTATAATAGTTCAACAAGGGGATCATACATACACATCATTTACATCTCTTATTCATTCAATTTCTAATAACTAGTTTTAAAGATATTCTTTGAAGAGAAGGTTCAAAGAGAAAAAACAAAACAAAACACCCCTTACAGGTGATTTGTTTTTTCCCTATAGAACATTACAAAAAGTTTTGGAGTCACTGTATAACTCATATCTACGAGTATATTTCAGCTTCTTATTTAAAACGTAATAAATAAATAAATAAATAAATAAATAAATAAATAAGCAAACAATGCTTCAGGCAGAAAAAGCTTCCCTAAAGGTAACTTTTACCTAATGGATGTTTTCTTTTCCCCACCTAAAAGTTACACATTTCTGCTTTCTGCAGCTTCTACAGGGTATAAGTGGCAACAGGGGTACACTTTTCAAAGACCTTGTTAATCTTTTTTTTTTTATCACTAATTATAATTACTTTGGCACACAAAAGGAGCATGAAGATTATGTAGGAGTTTGCCTTCTGCTTAGTATGAAGAGGTCCACAAAATTGGAAGCAGGATAATTCAAGAAACGATTAGTCTTTTCACTAGATCCAGTAAAAACTTCCTCAAGTGTAAGAATAAGAATACTGGGTTGACTTATAGTTTGACTTAGTATTTCCTTTTACTTCATTCAATATTTGGAAGTGATTTACTCATCATGGAGAAAATTACTAGCTAAACACAGTGAGAAACAAATATTGGGCCTAATGTTATAAAAAAAGATAATTTACTGTGCTTAAAAGAGCTGAGTTTCGGCTGGCCCCGTGGCGCACTCGGGAGAGCCAGCACTGGGAGCGCAGCGATGCTCCTGCCGCGGGTTGGGATCCTATATAGGAATGGCCGGTGCACTCACTGGCTGAGCACGGTGCGGGCGACACCAAGCCAAGGGTTGCGATTCCCTTACCAGTCACGAAAAAGACAAAAAAAAAAAAGAGCTGAGTTTCAAGGGCAATTGACATCTATATCCCACTTACTAAAATGGAATGAATTAAGGGTATCTATAACTTGGCCTCTGTAGATATACTTCAGCTTGTTTCTTTTCAGGAAAGAAGATTGTATGTGGAAATTTTCCCGCAGATTGTGGTGAAACAGGGAGTATGGTCAATCTAAAGACATTCACATTTAAATATTGCTCAAACACTGTAAGATGTATCAGAGATATATGTCTACATTCCCAGGGTATATAGAAAATTGTGTTGATCTCATGCTTCTTTTATTTATTTATTTATATTTATTTTTTACTGGTTATGAATATTCATGGAGTACAAGGCTGACCATCACCACTTGTGCCCAAGATGTGATGGCCAGATCAATACTGGCAGCAAGCCCGTTACCACAAATTGTGATTATACCCCGTGTCCCCCACCCAATTAATCTCCAGTCTCCCTCCCCTTAGATCTCACATTTCTAAAAAGACAAGAAAAGTAATTGGAACATATCCAGAAGGGTGATCAAGAAAAAAAGTTATGAGAAATGAGCCCAGTAAAATTTATTGTTTATTCTAAATAATGGTCATTAATTGTTCATATGACTGTGAAGCTTAATACAAATATTAAAAATACATTCTTAAAAGAGAATATTCATAATGTAAAAATTAGAATATCTATAACCAACACTGTAGATTGTTTGAACAAAATTTGGAAGATGAAGGGGAATATGTGCTTACATAAAAGTCTCATTCAGGGAGAGGAGGATTCCATAGATTCTGTTTCATTTTCGTTAGAATATCTATAACCAACACTGTAGATTGTTTGAACAAAATTTGGAAGATGAAGGGGAATGTGTGCTTACATAAAAGTCTCATTCAGGGAGAGGAGGATTCCATAGATTCTGTTTCATTTTCGAAGTTGGCAACAAAATAAAGGCACAATTTTTAAAAAATGTAGTAGACTAAAAATAGGATAAAACAATTCTAAAATATCAGCATAAAAAGGGACTAAAAGTGATAAAGCAAAATACAACAAAGAAAACAAAAGAAATAAGAGCACATTTATTAGGACACACACACACACAAAAAAAACATGACAGAATATGATAAAATATCAGTTAACACAAGAAAGAGGATGAGTTAACTTTTTCAACTAAAAGACAGAAATTATGAGAGCAAATTAAAAAAAAGCAACAAAATTCAACTAATTTGTGTTTGCTACAGTCATTCCTAAACTAAAAAGAAATAACTTTTGAAAATAAAGAGATGAGCTATACCAGGCAGAGACAAACAAAAAGAAAGCAGGACTAGCTTTCTATATTAAAACCAGAAAATTAGAAATCAAAACAAAAATTACTAAGGTTAAGTAATAGCATTTTACATTGATAAATGGTGTAATCATTATTAAAGATGAGGTATTCATGAACTTTTACGTTTGTGGCACTAAAATATTTCAAGTAGATATAACCAATCCAACCACAATGTAATAAAAGTAGAAATAAATCACATAAAGCTCAGATAACAAAGCAAGTCACTTACAAAATTAAAAAAAAAAACACTTTAAAGAATAATTCTTATATCAAATGGAGAATAAAAACTACAATTACTGACTGCTTACAAAAAATAATAATGAAGGTAATACATTTTTAAAAATCTAAGAGATACAGCTAACTTTATGTTCAGGTAAAATACATAGCATTAGACAACACTTTTTTAAAGAAATAAAAAATAAATTAATTAAACAACAAGTCTAAACTATAGGAAAGCAATAATAAAATAAAATAAAGGATGATGAATTTATTAAATATTAATTGAGAAATTAGCAAATTAGAGAAAAATATCAGAATTGACTTTTTTTAAAGTTGGTTTATTGAAAAGCCAATGAAATATGGAAACATCTGACAGATGTCAATGAAAATGACAAGATTATATAGCTCTAACAGACCATCCCTCTACAGAATCATCAAAACAGCAAGCAAAAACTTCCTTAATTGACTTTGTCAGAACTCTGGAAAGCAGTCAAAAGTTTATAGTAAGCAAGCAAATGCTGAAAGAAAAAAAAAGGGCAACTTAAAAATTGTAGGAAAGCTTTGAGGTATTTTGACTTGCCCTTACCCACCCAGCTTCTAGGTTCAGCAGAGACTGAGTGGATGAGAAAAATAAGACACAACTATATGAGGGGGTCTTCAAAGAATTCATGGAAAGATTCATATTATCTTTTAATTCCATTTGTCCATGAACTTTTTGAAGTACCTTCATATATTGTCTACAAAAAACCTGCTTTTAATATAAAGGCCGAGGTAGATTAAAAGTAAGTGAATGAGGGTAACTATGTGAATTGATTGATATGTGCATTAGCTTGATCAACATACATGTGGTAATCATTTCATAGTGTATGTATATATAAAAACATCACATTGTACAACTTAAATATGTACAATTTTTATTTGTCAATCATACCTCAATAAAGCTGGGGAGAAAAAAAGTAAATGGATGCAAAAAGATACACCATGCTAACATTAACCTAAAGAAAGCAGAAGTAGCTATATTAATTCCTGAAAGAGCAGATTTTAGAGTAAGAAATATTATAGATTAAGATAGCATTACATAATGATAAAGGGGTCAATTCCTAAGAAGAAATAACAATCCTAAATGTGTATAAGCCGAACAATAGAGAGTCGAAATACATAATGCAAAAACTGATAGAACTACAAGGAGAAATAAACAAACCTACTGTGATAGTTGGCACTTCAACATTCCTCTATCAGAAGTTAACATATCCAGCAGGCAGAAAATTATTAGGGATATAGATGAATTGAACATTACCATCAATCAACTGGATCTAGTTGACATTTATAAATGCTTCCTCCAAAAACAGCAGAATACACATTCTTCTCTAGCTCACATGGAACATTTACCAAGATAGACCATATCCAGGGCCAAAAAATATCCTAACAAATTAAAAAAAAATAAAAATCATACAAAGTATGCTCTCACACAATAATGGACTTAAACTAGAAATCAATAACAGAAAGGTAGCTGAAAAATACCAAAATATTTGGAGATTAAACAATACACTTTTAAATAACACACGGGTCAAAGAAGTCTCAAGAGAAATTTAAAATATTTTGAACTAAATGAAAATAAAAATACAACTTATCAAAATTTGTAAGGTGCAGCAAAATTGTGCGTAGAGGTAAATTTATAGCATTGAACACCTATATATAAAAAGAAGATAGGTCTAAAATGAATACTCTCAGTTTCTGCCTAGGGAAACTACAGAAAGAAGAACAAATTAAATCTAAAGTAAGCAGAAGAAAAGAAATAATACAAATTAGAAGAGAAATCAATGAAATGAAGACAACAGAGAAAATCAATGAAACCAAAACCTGGTTCTAAGTAAAGATGAATTACATTGATAAACATTTAGCCAGACTAATCAAGTAAAAAAAAGAGAAGAAATAAATTACTAATATTAGAAATGAAAGAGGGGCCATAACTAATAATTCCTCGGACATTAAAAGGATTTTAAAAAGGATATTATAAATGACCGTATGCTCACAAGTTTGATAACTTAGATGAAATGGACAAATTCCTTGAAAGACAAAATCCACCAAAACTCATACAAGCAGAAATAGGTAAGCTGAACAGACCTATATCTATTTTAAAAATTTAGTCAATAATTAATAACCTTCCAAACAAGAAAGCATCAGGACCACATAGTTTCACTTATAAATTCTACCAAACATTTTAAAGAAGAAATAACACTAAAGCTAATGAACAAATTTAGCAAAGATATAGGGTACAAGATCAGCACACAAAAATCAGTTGTGTCTATACACCAGAAATGAACAATCTGAAAAGAAAATTAAGAAAACCATTCCATTTACAAGAGAATACAGAAGAAAAAAATGCCTACAAATAAATTTAACCAAGGAGGTGAAAGACTTGTACACTGAAAACTAAAAATCATTGCTGAAAGAAATTAAAGAAGACCTAAGTAAATAAGAAGACATTCCATGTTTATGGATTGGAAGACTTAATGTTGTTAAAATGGCAGTACTACCCAAAGTAATCTAAAGATTCAACGCAATCACTATAAAAAAGGCAACAGCTCTTTATTATTATTATTTTTTTTACAGAAATTAAGAGCTAATCCTCAAGTTTATATGAAATTATAAGAAAATCACAATGGCCAAAACAATCTTGAAAAAGAAGACCAAATTTGGAGGGCTCACACTTTCAGATTTCACAACTTACTACAAAGCAACAGTAATCAAAACAGTATTGTATGGCATAAGAAAAGATATGCAGACAAATGGCGTAAAATTGGAAGTCCAGAAATATACCCATACATCTGATAGATTTTCAACAATGGTGCCAGGACTATTCAAAGATCACACTTTCAGATTTCACAACTTACTACAAAGCAACAGTAATCAAAACAGTATTGTATGGCGTAAGAAAAGATATGCAGACAAATGGCGTAAAATTGGAAGTCCAGAAATATACCCATACATCTGATAGATTTTCAAAAATGGTGCCAGGACTATTCAAAGTGGAAAGAAAAGTCTCTTTAGTAAATTGTACTGGAACAACTAGATATCCACATGTAAAAGAATAAGGTTAAACCCTTACCTCATACCACATAAAAAATTAACTCAAAATGGGCCAATGACATCAATTTAAGAGCTTAAACTATGAAATCTTTCAGAGAAAACATAGGGGTAAATCTTCAACACCTTGAATCTGGCAACAGTTCCTTAGATATGACATCAGAAACACAAGAAAAACAAAACGAAACAAATAGATAAATTGGATTTCATCAGAATTAATACTTTTGTGCATCAAATGACATTATCAAAGAAGTAAAAAGAAAACCTATAGAATGGGAGAAACGATTAGCAAATCAGATATCTAATAAAAATCTAATATTCAAAATTTATAAAGAACTCATCCAACTTAATAAAAAACCAAAANCACTTACTAAAATGGAATGAATTAAGGGTATCTATAACTTGGCCTCTGTAGATATACTTCAGCTTGTTTCTTTTCAGGAAAGAAGATTGTATGTGGAAATTTTCCCCAAGATGAACTGCGAGTTGGACTTCAGTATTCAAATTGTGAAAAACAAACTGTGAATGTTACAATAAGGTTTTTGCTTCTCTGTTTAGCTTTTAAATGAGTTCATGATGCATGAGATCGTCTACCTCAATTTTTATGTTCTATTACTAATCTTCTTTCCTTCATTATTTTGGACTTAAGTCCTGAATTTTCAGTTTAAAAATGTCATATTTTTCAAAACTACTGCTTTATCATAATGAAGCAGCATTCTCACATCAAAATGAATGTGCTGCCACTTGACAGAGAAGTTAAAAGTGAAATTTCCAATAACTGCCTTACACCAAATATACCTCTTTTGATAATGTTCTTTAAGTTTCACACTTTGAAATTCGGAGCCCCAAAAAAAAAAAAAAAAAAAAAAAAAAAACCACAGAATTCAAGAAAAATCATACGGAGAAATGACCTTCTTAGGTCCAGGACTTTACCTTCTCTTGTATCTTAATGAGCTCAAACTATGAAAAATCATCTATATGCCTTATGAAAGTACTCTATAAAATGCTATGTTTACAAGTCAAACATTCTATGGAATATTGTGTAATTGTTTTTTAAAAAATAAGCAGCAGAAAAAGTTCTATCCTCCAACTTTTAGCCAACAAGAACACTCTAGACCAGCATTTCCTGATAATTCTATAATTAGGGTAATTGATTTAGTAACCACATTACTATCTACCAAAGAGGGAAATAAGTCATAATGACTTATGAATAAAAGTTCCCATTTTTACATAATATTTTGTTTAATTATAATCAGTTGTACTTTGTTTTTATTTGAAGACCTACATTTAAAATATTAACAATTTTATTTTTTGACAATCAAAAATTAAGTGTACTGTATATGTCTTGATAATTCTGACATTTTTTAACTGATTGAGATGTCTATTTGTGAAAATAAATCATTTTCAGGAGTGCTATTTATTTTTCCTGTTGTGGAGAAAGAAGTTTTTTAAAACACAAACCTCCAAGGCATTTTCAAAAAATTCAGAGGTCAACCTAAGGAGCTCCCTTCTTCTTTCAAGCATGGAGACCAGGGTCGCCCATGCTTCACCCAGGGTCTTGGCCATGGCATCGTACACCTGACTCTGATCCTCATTCTCTTCAGCTGTCTTGTCTGCTTCTTGCAAGAGTTCCCATACCCGGTCTTCCAAAGCCTACGTCCAGGAGAAAAAAGGCATAATGCAGAGTGTCACTCAATGGAAGAACACAGGATCACATTTTAAACACTTAGATATTTGAAGTTGTATGTGATCTAGGAAGGTCTGAAAGAGAATTTATAAACACACACTGCTAGGCAGGCAGGCAGATCAAGCGGGCGGGAAGGAGCAATGCAGATTGTGGTGAAACAGGGAGTATGGTCAATCTAAAGACATTCACATTTAAATATTGCTCAAACACTGTAAGATGTATCAGAGATATATGTCTACATTCCCAGGGTATATAGAAAATTGTGTTGATCTCATGCTTCTTTTATTTATTTATTTATATTTATTTTTTACTTGTTATGAATATTCATGGAGTACAAGGCTGACCATCACCACTTGTGCCCAAGATGTGATGGCCAGATCAATACTGGCAGCAAGCCCGTTACCACAAATTGTGATTATACCCCGTGTCCCCCACCCAATTAATCTCCAGCCTCCCTCCCCTTAGATCTCACATTTCTAAAAAGACAAGAAAAGTAATTGGAACATATCCAGAAGGGTGATCAAGAAAAAAAGTTATGAGAAATGAGCCCAGTAAAATTTATTGTTTATTCTAAATAATGGTCATTAATTGTTCATATGACTGTGAAGCTTAATACAAATATTAAAAATACATTCTTAAAAGAGAATATTCATAATGTAAAAATTAGAATATCTATAACCAACACTGTAGATTGTTTGAACAAAATTTGGAAGATGAAGGGGAATATGTGCTTACATAAAAGTCTCATTCAGGGAGAGGAGGATTCCATAGATTCTGTTTCATTTTCGAAGTTGGCAACAAAATAAAGGCACAATTTTTAAAAAATGTAGTAGACTAAAAATAGGATAAAACAATTCTAAAATATCAGCATAAAAAGGGACTAAAAGTGATAAAGCAAAATACAACAAAGAAAACAAAAGAAATAAGAGCACATTTATTAGGACACACACACACACAAAAAAAACATGACAGAATATGATAAAATATCAGTTAACACAAGAAAGAGGATGAGTTAACTTTTTCAACTAAAAGACAGAAATTATGAGAGCAAATTAAAAAAAAGCAACAAAATTCAACTAATTTGTGTTTGCTACAGTCATTCCTAAACTAAAAAGAAATAACTTTTGAAAATAAAGAGATGAGCTATACCAGGCAGAGACAAACAAAAAGAAAGCAGGACTAGCTTTCTATATTAAAACCAGAAAATTAGAAATCAAAACAAAAATTACTAAGGTTAAGTAATAGCATTTTACATTGATAAATGGTGTAATCATTATTAAAGATGAGGTATTCATGAACTTTTACGTTTGTGGCACTAAAATATTTCAAGTAGATATAACCAATCCAACCACAATGTAATAAAAGTAGAAATAAATCACATAAAGCTCAGATAACAAAGCAAGTCACTTACAAAATTAAAAAAAAAAACACTTTAAAGAATAATTCTTATATCAAATGGAGAATAAAAACTACAATTACTGACTGCTTACAAAAAATAATAATGAAGGTAATACATTTTTAAAAATCTAAGAGATACAGCTAACTTTATGTTCAGGTAAAATACATAGCATTAGACAACACTTTTTTAAAGAAATAAAAAATAAATTAATTAAACAACAAGTCTAAACTATAGGAAAGCAATAATAAAATAAAATAAAGGATGATGAATTTATTAAATATTAATTGAGAAATTAGCAAATTAGAGAAAAATATCAGAATTGACTTTTTTTAAAGTTGGTTTATTGAAAAGCCAATGAAATATGGAAACATCTGACAGATGTCAATGAAAATGACAAGATTATATAGCTCTAACAGACCATCCCTCTACAGAATCATCAAAACAGCAAGCAAAAACTTCCTTAATTGACTTTGTCAGAACTCTGGAAAGCAGTCAAAAGTTTATAGTAAGCAAGCAAATGCTGAAAGAAAAAAAAAGGGCAACTTAAAAATTGTAGGAAAGCTTTGAGGTATTTTGACTTGCCCTTACCCACCCAGCTTCTAGGTTCAGCAGAGACTGAGTGGATGAGAAAAATAAGACACAACTATATGAGGGGGTCTTCAAAGAATTCATGGAAAGATTCATATTATCTTTTAATTCCATTTGTCCATGAACTTTTTGAAGTACCTTCATATATTGTCTACAAAAAACCTGCTTTTAATATAAAGGCCGAGGTAGATTAAAAGTAAGTGAATGAGGGTAACTATGTGAATTGATTGATATGTGCATTAGCTTGATCAACATACATGTGGTAATCATTTCATAGTGTATGTATATATAAAAACATCACATTGTACAACTTAAATATGTACAATTTTTATTTGTCAATCATACCTCAATAAAGCTGGGGAGAAAAAAAGTAAATGGATGCAAAAAGATACACCATGCTAACATTAACCTAAAGAAAGCAGAAGTAGCTATATTAATTCCTGAAAGAGCAGATTTTAGAGTAAGAAATATTATAGATTAAGATAGCATTACATAATGATAAAGGGGTCAATTCCTAAGAAGAAATAACAATCCTAAATGTGTATAAGCCGAACAATAGAGAGTCGAAATACATAATGCAAAAACTGATAGAACTACAAGGAGAAATAAACAAACCTACTGTGATAGTTGGCACTTCAACATTCCTCTATCAGAAGTTAACATATCCAGCAGGCAGAAAATTATTAGGGATATAGATGAATTGAACATTACCATCAATCAACTGGATCTAGTTGACATTTATAAATGCTTCCTCCAAAAACAGCAGAATACACATTCTTCTCTAGCTCACATGGAACATTTACCAAGATAGACCATATCCAGGGCCAAAAAATATCCTAACAAATTAAAAAAAAATAAAAATCATACAAAGTATGCTCTCACACAATAATGGACTTAAACTAGAAATCAATAACAGAAAGGTAGCTGAAAAATACCAAAATATTTGGAGATTAAACAATACACTTTTAAATAACACACGGGTCAAAGAAGTCTCAAGAGAAATTTAAAATATTTTGAACTAAATGAAAATAAAAATACAACTTATCAAAATTTGTAAGGTGCAGCAAAATTGTGCGTAGAGGTAAATTTATAGCATTGAACACCTATATATAAAAAGAAGATAGGTCTAAAATGAATACTCTCAGTTTCTGCCTAGGGAAACTACAGAAAGAAGAACAAATTAAATCTAAAGTAAGCAGAAGAAAAGAAATAATACAAATTAGAAGAGAAATCAATGAAATGAAGACAACAGAGAAAATCAATGAAACCAAAACCTGGTTCTAAGTAAAGATGAATTACATTGATAAACATTTAGCCAGACTAATCAAGTAAAAAAAAGAGAAGAAATAAATTACTAATATTAGAAATGAAAGAGGGGCCATAACTAATAATTCCTCGGACATTAAAAGGATTTTAAAAAGGATATTATAAATGACCGTATGCTCACAAGTTTGATAACTTAGATGAAATGGACAAATTCCTTGAAAGACAAAATCCACCAAAACTCATACAAGCAGAAATAGGTAAGCTGAACAGACCTATATCTATTTTAAAAATTTAGTCAATAATTAATAACCTTCCAAACAAGAAAGCATCAGGACCACATAGTTTCACTTATAAATTCTACCAAACATTTTAAAGAAGAAATAACACTAAAGCTAATGAACAAATTTAGCAAAGATATAGGGTACAAGATCAGCACACAAAAATCAGTTGTGTCTATACACCAGAAATGAACAATCTGAAAAGAAAATTAAGAAAACCATTCCATTTACAAGAGAATACAGAAGAAAAAAATGCCTACAAATAAATTTAACCAAGGAGGTGAAAGACTTGTACACTGAAAACTAAAAATCATTGCTGAAAGAAATTAAAGAAGACCTAAGTAAATAAGAAGACATTCCATGTTTATGGATTGGAAGACTTAATGTTGTTAAAATGGCAGTACTACCCAAAGTAATCTAAAGATTCAACGCAATCACTATAAAAAAGGCAACAGCTCTTTATTATTATTATTTTTTTTACAGAAATTAAGAGCTAATCCTCAAGTTTATATGAAATTATAAGAAAATCACAATGGCCAAAACAATCTTGAAAAAGAAGACCAAATTTGGAGGGCTCACACTTTCAGATTTCACAACTTACTACAAAGCAACAGTAATCAAAACAGTATTGTATGGCGTAAGAAAAGATATGCAGACAAATGGCGTAAAATTGGAAGTCCAGAAATATACCCATACATCTGATAGATTTTCAAAAATGGTGCCAGGACTATTCAAAGTGGAAAGAAAAGTCTCTTTAGTAAATTGTACTGGAACAACTAGATATCCACATGTAAAAGAATAAGGTTAAACCCTTACCTCATACCACATAAAAAATTAACTCAAAATGGGCCAATGACATCAATTTAAGAGCTTAAACTATGAAATCTTTCAGAGAAAACATAGGGGTAAATCTTCAACACCTTGAATCTGGCAACAGTTCCTTAGATATGACATCAGAAACACAAGAAAAACAAAACGAAACAAATAGATAAATTGGATTTCATCAGAATTAATACTTTTGTGCATCAAATGACATTATCAAAGAAGTAAAAAGAAAACCTATAGAATGGGAGAAACGATTAGCAAATCAGATATCTAATAAAAATCTAATATTCAAAATTTATAAAGAACTCATCCAACTTAATAAAAAACCAAAACAAAACAATTAAAAAATAGGCAAAGAACTTGAAAAGGTATTTCTACAGAGAGTATACAAATAGCAAACAGGTACATTAAAAGATGCTCAACATCATTAGTCATTAGGGAAAGGCAAATCAAAACCACAACTGAGATACCACTTCACACCCACTAAAATAACTATAATAAAAAGAAAAGAGAAAAGAAAAATAACAAGCATTGGCATGACACACTTTTAAATAACATATGGGTCAAAGAAGAAGTCTCAAGAGAAATTTAAAATATTTTGAACTAAATG